AAGTCTCCAGGTCTAAATGTGTTTAAATTAGGCTGAAAAAACAAAATCAATTTTTCGATTATTCTCGATAAAAAAGTTATCGGACGAGTTATCGAAAAAATATGATAAATTTGTACTGCGTATGGTACACACGAGTATGCATGTCTAATTTCATCTCTCTAGTTCTTATAACTTCTGAGATCGACGCACTCATACGGACGGACAGACGGACAGGGCTATATCGACTCAGCTCGTCATGCTGATCAAGAATATACATACTTTATGGGTCTGCGATGACTCCTTCTGCCCGTTACATTCTTTTTCACAAAACCATTATACCCTGATTTCSCATTTTCAATGGGTTCAGGGAGAAAAACATTTTGAAAGCGCTCTAGTCGATACTGGACTACCGGATCCCCTAAAACCCTCGAAGAGCCGATATTGTTACAATTGGTCTCTGCTTTGTCAAGAGTTTTCTAATCTGCTGCGTAAATTTAAAAAAAACATATACTTACCATTATTAGGCGGGAAATGGCTTGAGATACTTGGGTGACCGTGCGGAAAGATTTGGTGAACAAGTCGTCGGGCAGCTCGAATGAGACGTTGTTGCGATCCAGTTCCGCCGCGTCGCTTAGATCTTTGCCACCGGCGCGGGCTCGTCGTTTGGTCTGGTCGAGCCGAAGCAGCGAAACGAGATCGAAAAGAGAAGAAGAAGAAGAAAGAGAGAGGATTGTGAGTAGGCCAACTTATCAAGGCATGCGACATATTCAACATAATGAAGACAAGGCCAAGGCTAGCGCTGTGTCGATCCCAGGGTTGCATTGAAAAAATCGAGTTTTTGTTTCGGTTGCGGTTGATTTTTTTCTGTTTCATTTTTTTCGTCTTTTTTAATGTCTTGCTGATACATATGTAAAAATCAAGTGTTTAATTTATCGTTTTATTTAGTCGAACGTTACATTAATATATATATATATGCGCCAATATTTACAAACATGAGTACAATGCGTAGCATAAAATAAACTTAGATATTGCCCTGACGACAAACAATCGGAAGCGTTAACAAAATTTCAAACTTATCTCTAAACTACGACAAGAGAAAAAAAAATCGTACAGAATTGATATGCCAATGAAAGAGTGCGAGCATCAGAGGAAGACTTAGGACAGATCACTCCTCCAGAGTGTGTGGGTGTGTTTGTGTGTAGGGGTGTGACGTGTAGCTGTGTGTGTGTGTGATTTACATAAATTAGAAAACCTCAATTCAGAACGGACAAACGAACGATCCAGATCAGGTTATCCAATTAGCCTGCCAACAAGCTAGCCAGGTAGCCAGTGAGAGAGTTGCTCTAATAGCCCGCCTCATCGGAGTCGGGGGCCGGTGTTGTGACGCCAGCTATGCCATTGGCACCGCCCGACGACCCCTGCAGAATGGGTCCCGAAAAGCTCAAGAACTTGGACACGACGTTGCCGAGGCCGGCGTTCGGATTGCCATTGCCCGACGAGGAACCGCTGAACGCAGTTATGGTCGTCAACACGCCGGTCGTCAGATCGTTGGCAATGTTGCCGATGGAGCGAATCTTTGGCGACACCACTGCCGTGATCAGAGTCTGGAAGTCCTTGATTGGCACCGGCGACTTAATGTCCCACTGCTTATTCTTCTCGATATTCGAGCGATCCAGCTGCTCAATCACCCGGGTCTTTGTATCTAGAAAGTTATCGATCTTCTGCAATGGCATGTGATTGGGAGCAAACATTAATGGATCAATGAATGGCAACGCATCAAATGGCACTACTTACACCAAACACAAATCCGAGCACGGCATTTTTCGCCTCAAATGTCGCATCGGGCAGTTTTCTTTTGTTGCGCTCGAGCTCGCCGCCGCCTAACACCTCCTAGAATAGAATTACATAAGAGAGAGAGAACAGACACTAAAGAGTTTGGCTTGATGGCAATCGATTCTTCCCCTTGCCAACGTAAAGCTAGCAGCAGCTGAGAACGCACCCTACCCTCCCAAGGCGGGGCCAATGGGAGTTCAGTTCATATATACTTTGGAGTGCTATATATCGCATTACCCCCAAGCTTGATGCGCTTATAGCCAACGCAGCTGCACAAACCAATATAGCCTCGCATACATGTGCGAGCGGGTATGTCAATGACTCAAATTGTGAATCACAAATCTGGTTAGACTTGAACTAATTACGCGCCTGCAAGAAAACCAATTGAAACACATGCATACACGTGAGTACACACACAGAGAGAGACACGCTTAAACCACTTACGTCTATTCTTAGACCTCACTCTATTGGTATTGGCATCGGCTGGGCTTTGACATCGAGGCAACATTTCGGCATTCAATATAATTATGCTTGTCCATGCTTAAAATTCACAGCGTCATTGGCAACAAAACGCGAAACACTCAATATGTATGCACTTCTCGCATGGGCCCAGCTCCAAATGGACTCATTTCTAAACAAGACGCATGCGCCCGAACCGCCCAAAGTCAAGCTATTGTTGCTGTTGTTGTAGTCGCCGTTGT